CTAAATAACCTCTCATTTTATCAATCCAACATTTACTTTAATTCAACCTTTTTTTTTTTTGTTTTTTTGTTTTTAAATTCCAATTAGCCTTTATATACTTTAACCACCTAAATTTCAACACCAACTTTAATTGAACCATGATAAGGCACAATTTGGATTATAGATTAGAAACATAAGACCAAATCCAAATAAATAATGTGTGATGTCATGGTAACAATGCTGTTATAGTAACATCAATTTATCAATCCAACACTTTCTATAATTCAACCTTTTTTTTTTTTAGCCTTTATATACTTCAACCGCCTAAATTTCAACACCAACTTTAATTCATCCATGATAAGGTACAATTTGGATTATAGATTAGAAACATAAAACCACCAAATCCAAATATATATTGTGTGATGTCATGGTAACAACGCTGTTATAGTTACATCACATTATTTATTTATTTGGATCCATCAATAATTGACAATATGACCCAGAATAAGTATACTGCTACAGCGTTTTATGGTTTCCACAAGTCCATATCTCAGAAGAAGGCCTAGTGACACTCACTCCTCACTTTCTTACTGCTACTCTTTTTGTGTTGTTTTTCTTGCTTCCCTTTTTCTTGTTTTTTCTTTTTCTTCTGTCTATATCGTTGTTTCCTTTGTTTCACTGCTTTGTTCTTATGTATACCTCTGGTGAATCCTGTATAGGATCAGTGACCCTAAATAAAGGCTTTTTGTTGTTGTTGTTGTTATTTATTTGGATTTGGGGGGTCTTGTGTGTGTGTGTGTGTGTGTGTTACCTTATGTTTTTAATTCAATCAAAAATTTTGAGCCCTTTGGGTGTTGAATTAAAAGAAATTTGACTGTAGTTGTAAAATGTTACTAGGAATAAATTATGATAAGGAACAATTTGGATTATAGATTATAGCTATAAGTAAAATAAGACCTAATCCAAATAAATTAATAGTGTACGACATTTTGGTAACAGTGTTGTTACCATATCATCAGACAAAATAATAAATGATGATTTATTCTTTTGTATGATGTGAAAATCACATACTATTAATTTATTTGGAAAAGGTCTTATTTTCTTGTAGTGGGAATAAATGAATAATATTAATGATAAGGCACACAATTTGGATTATATAGATTATAAACACAAGGTAATAAGACCAAATCCAAATAAGTAAATAGTGTGTGATGTTTCTGTAACAGCGTTGTTACCATCTTCAGACAAAAGTACTGAATGAGAAATTTTACCACAGCATGTTTTAAATAGTTACTGTTATCAAGTGTGTAATTTATCTGCTATCTTGTTTACACACTTGATAACAGTAACTATTTAAACCATGCTGTGGTAAAATTTCTCATTCAGTACTTTTGTCTGAAGATGGTAACAACACTGATACCGAAACGTCACACACTATTCATTTATTTGGATTTGATCTTATTACCTTGTATGAATAATATTAATCATCTCTCCCATCAATATAAATGCCAAATACTATGTGCCAACTGTTAACCATCTCTACAAATCTAGCAGACACAATTAGGAACAAAGCCACAACACCAGCTTTGTCAACTTCATTATTAGGGGTTATCAAGGTAATGATAAGGTATGATTTGGATTAGATAGATTATATATAATGTGATTATTGCTGTGTTACCGAAACATCACAAACATTTCAGTAATTTGGTACCTTTTGGTTATCAAGATAACTAAGTACAGATAAGACAAAGATTTTATTTTGTTGTTGTTGTTTCTTATCCCCTTGTGTAAAGATTACACGAATTCCATGAGTTCATGCTCCTCGAGCTGTTTTATGATAAGCAGCAGCCTTTCCTAAAAGTCCTTTTTAGTGCATCTAATGCAAGCCAAAATGTGTTCTGGAGATGCAGGTACCAAGCTACACTTTGGGCAAGTGGGGTAGATTCTGTTATTTTCTATCTTCAATGGCTTGAGATGGCCTGTTCTAAATATTGTTATTGTTGTTTGATGCTGTCTGAGGTTCAGAGCTCCTCCTGGGTTCACTCCACTGTACCAACTGTGCTTAGGTGGGATCCTCCAGTTCTTGTTTATTTTTGCTGATCTCATGGAATGGGATGTAGGGGTGCAGCTTTCGTTGATCATGGCACCATGATCCAGGCACACTTTGGTGAAAGTCTGACTTTGCCTGTAGTTTGAGGCCGTTCCTAACATGGAAGCAGACGCCTCTGCTGCCGACTCTAGCATGAGTACAGACGCAGCTCCTCCGTGTCCCTGGAGTGGGACCCTTGCTGAGGTCTATCAACTGGGTCAGTTGAAGTCAGGATTTTTAAAGAGGTCTACTCCTCTTCTAACAATGCTGCTGTTGGTCCGCGACTGCTTATTCGTCAGAGTTATTCTGCTTGTTTCAGTTCTTGCTCCTCGAACTGTTTTATGATAAGCAGCGGCCTTTTCCAAAAGTCCTGTTTAGTGCATCTAATGCAAGCCAAAATGTGTTCTGGAGCTGCAGGTGCCAAGCTACATTTTGGACAAGTGGGGTAGATTTTGTTATTATTTTCTATCTTCAATGGCTTGAGATGGCCTGTTTTAAATCTTGTTAGTGTTGTTTGATGCTGTCTATTTCTGATGTTCAGAGCTCCTCCTGGGTTCACTCCACTGTACCAACCATGCTTAGGTGGGATCCTCCAGTTCATTTTA